AGCACCATCAACTGCTCAATTCATCACCCCCAACCCAAACTCAACAAAACCAAATTAAATGCATGATAAATTCCTCGAATTTGACTAAGTACAAGTTTTCAATATTTATGAGATGACGTACGTCCTCAAAAAACAATGAAGGCTGATTGTATTCATTTCCATCAAAAATCCTAAGAAATGACAAATTCTCATGGCAATTCGTAACATTAAACAGAATCAAATGATTCATTGAGTTGGATCTAATTTTAATTCAAATATCAATTTTAACATTTAAGGCACAATTTGCAAGCCAAAAACCAAAAACAGAATTTATTTTCAGGTCTGAAATATAAACGGATGGATGAAAAGTGATCGGACAACTTACGATAAATGAAGATGCATCCTACTCGATATAATTTAAAATATGCTCGAGGATGCTATAAATAATCTCTTGATAACTTTGACCTTTTGTAATTCATGCAACGTAGTTGATAATGACGAAAAGGCTTCTTTGCATTCTAAGACGCAAAGAGGCGTGATAATGCAATGTTTGTTTATGAAATATAAATAAAGTAAGAATCCGCGAGTTATAGACATACTTAGAATGAAAAATACACTCACTTCAAAAAGGTAGAAAATAACTTTGGTCTCTAAGGTAATGCTGAAGGGAAGATGTTGACATTTTATGATGAAAATTAAATTAAATATGAAGAATTTGTTGTAAAAGAAGGAAGGAAAAATCATGAGAGATGTCCTCAAGTGAGGTAAGCACTTGTTCTTATTTTTAGCACTGCAATTCTAGTTGATGAACTGTTCTTAAGTTTCCAGAGCACCAATTTAGTTTTCGTCACATTTATTAAGCAACTTTCTTAAAATCTTAATTTCAAATATTGAAGGATTCGAACCGACGATTTTTGAGTAACCTTAACAGCTTTGAGAAGAACAATTTGTCAATTCCTTCACAAAGAATCTTAACTGTTAAAGGATATAGTAAGCTTATTAAGGGTATTAATTGACGCTGGCTAAATGATTTGCTGTCTATGTCACTGATCTCATTATACAGTCGCAAATTTTCATATCAAAATTAAATCAACATAATGTTATGATTCTCAAACTCAGCCAAAAGCCAATCGTAAACATGTAAACATCAACATATTTACAGTCATCAAATCAACACTCATATTCGAGCAATAAAATAAAGTTCTAAGGAATTTATAGACATATTTTTTTTTTGAATTTTAAGTCAATTGCGATAAGGAAGTTGAGCATCTGCTCTAGATTCAGAGACATACGAAATGGAGAGAAGAACCGATCAGCTTTGAATATTTTTGAATGTAAATATGTACAAACATTTTTACTTCTAGCCGACTTCAATTTTTCTTTATAGCGGAAAGTTTGATTGTTGCTTCTTCCTGTAGAAAATCAGCTGCGAAAATTCTGAACTTTTTGTTTTACTAGAGCACAATTTTTGCAAGGCAAATGAGGTTTTTGTGAATTCATTTTTGGTGGGTGATTAACATATTTGTGTGGTAGCGAGATAGGTTGGTAACTAGCTTCGCATTTGGATTAATTTGTGGTGTAAAAAAATGGTCGGGGATGTTAAAAACTTAGTGATAAATTCTCAAAAAAAAAACTAGAAGTAGAAAAAATGATTAATTTTCAGGTTTCGAACCTAATCGTCTTAATTTTCCATAATTTTTACTAAATTTAAACTTAAAATGATTTGGCTAATTCTGAATATCTTTAAAACAATTCAAAAACACAACACCAGCATTGAACAAAACTGCGTCCTCACATCTTCTTCCACAATGACCTCTTCAACTTAAGTTTGCGCTACTCTTTATGAAAATCGATTCGCAATTTAAAACAAAACATTCAATAAAAGTCTTTGAAATCAAGAGAAGCAGCAGGAAAAAAATAAATTTTTTTATATTCAACCTCATCATCATCATCAGCTTCTATTACAGAATAATGAAATACAGAACAATGAACACATAGATCATTTAATAAAAACGAGAGCGCTCATAAAAAATAAATTTGTTTCGCAAAAAATTAGATGTTTACATTACATTACATCGTTGAAATTTGTGAGGTATGAGTCACGTCATGATTCACATGATTCTTTTAATGCTCTCCCGCATTACTCTGCGGTTTGGGTAACAAGGAAAGGAAGTTTATATAAACTAGCTCATGTGATGATGTCGAATTCATTCATAAAAATATATTTTTTTGTATTTTATTTTCATCAGCCGATGGACATTTCGACCGTGAAATTTATCAAAATGTTCTCTCGTTCATAAAGTCGAAGGATCTATTTTTAAAACTTTTACGGCAGTGAAATTTTTAAAGTCGCATAATTTTTAATTTTAGCAGAAAGGAGCAATTGACGTGTGGGCTTTGATTTCATTTTGATTCTGTGAATGGCTAAAGTAGGTGGCTGTCTTAATATTTAATTGAGTAGATGGATATAGACATTACAAAAGTTTGGTCTGACGCAATGAGTAAGTTCTGGTATTGACAAAAAAACTTGTTTAAATATTGTTTGAGTTGGAAATTCAGCTGAAGTCGAAATGTTATGTTTTAAGCTATGAAGTAAGTTGTTTGTCACACACCAGCCCCTTCTAATCCATAGAACTAGTTGTAAACCCTTGAAACTGTAGATTCCATCCCCAAAATTCTTTTTAAATGGACAATTCTAATTACATTTAAAAATTACAGAAGTCCTCGTGTTATTGATCGAGGGACTTAAGCGCATTTTTGTGTTAGCGATCAGTATTTGATTATCTAATTATTTTGCGTTCATTTACAATACATTAGAAGATTAAAAGATCATTAATTTTAGTAATAAAAACTAATAAAACAAACTAGAACTCTCTACGATGTCTAGTTAAAAAGTTTTTCTCTGCCCGAACGAACAGACAAAGTGAGATATTAAGCTACCTTTTAGAAAAAAGTTTCAAAAATGCGCTAAAAAGTAGTCGAACAAAATAGATTAAAGCTACATAGAGCATAAAAATGCATAAATTGACTAATTAAGTTGCTATCTAATTGGATAGAATAATGAATAGACTGAACTATATACCTATCTGTAACACTAATTAGCTGATTGGATGTATATTTGGGCAAGATCAGAAAAAAAGGGAAAAAATCTTCAAATGCTGATTTCTCTGCTACCGAGCATCCAATTTGTATGATTTTTTCACAGTTCGAAAGCAAATTTCAGAAAATTTAACTTTTATTTTCATTTTTTAAAATGGCGGTTCAATAAGTTAGCTTAATGAACAAATTCACATTTGAAATTGATTTTTCTTCAAGAAAAAAGCAAGCTAAATGTTCAAGTCCTTGACAAAAGTTGTAGATTATGATATTTTCTATCATAACATCAGACTAAAGCTTAATAAAAATCTATAGATTTAGTTATTTTAACAAAGAATCAACTTGTTGAAAAAATTCTTTTTTCAGCATAAATACTAACTCTAGTTGACCGAAAACAATTTTTAAATAATTAAAAAGTCATTGTGTACTGTAATTGTATGTTGAAAATGCTTAAAATCGAGTTAAATTAACTTAAAAACATTGTAATTTCAATTGAGCAACATGTTTTGCTCTGTGTTGCTCATGATTTCACACAAAATTTGAAATTTTCAAAGCCGTTACAAATATTTTGGTTTAATTATTTAAACTTTTATGATTTTCTTGGCTTTCCATAAAAATTTTTAAGTTTTTCTTTTGCAAAAAGATGCATCTAATGTATTGTTATAGTTTCAAATTGAGAGATCATTGAAATAATAAAAGAGTAATGGTTTAATAGAAGTTTTCTTAAACTCACTGTAACTTTGTTAATTAAAGTAGAACTTAAAATTTTCTTTTATAAACTTAAAGACAGTCATATTTGCTAGCTTTTTTGTATTAAAAGCTAGTTATTAAGATGTTTCCTTCATATAGAAATTTCAACCTAAACATTTAAAACATTAATTAAACTAACTTAGAATACCGCCATATTAATAATTTTATGCAAGTAATTCACTATTCTGATCATTTAATTACTCAGTGAAAGAATTTTTAAGATTTGTGAATCAGTTGCAGAGATATTGCATTAGCAACATGGTGTAAAATCGAATTTCCTCAAAATTGTTCGTGACGCTTAGCACTTTAAATTAATTTTTAATTATAACACAATGTCTAAGAGATACTTATTATACACCAAAATATAGGTCTTGGCAAGGACTTTAAGAAAAACACAAGTCTTAAATACATATTTCGCATTACTGATCCAAAAATTGTAAATTATTGCTCAGCGTCACGAACAATTCATTTTTGATCTTGCCCATTTACTTTTAAACTTCAATTTAAAACGTACGGAAAAATAAAGTTTTGAGCACATATTCGTATTAGATGCGTGGGTTAGGCATTAATCAGCTCTATATTATTATCTCTAATGTAGCTAGCTCTAGTTCCTCAAACTAATTCACTGAATCAGATATGCGCCTTAATCATCTATTAAATTGTAAACTTCCTCTCTCTATGCCGGGAGAGTAACATGATACATATATACAAAATATTTTTTCTTTCTTTTTTTGTTTATACCTTTCACACATCTGAGACGGTAAATGATTATAAATTGGAGCAGGTGTCGACCGATTATAAAAATGTTTAACACACATATTTGGAGGTCAATTAAATCACTATTGTGTATTTTTTGCGCTGTCAGAAAATTTTCTTATGCAATAACTTTTTTATCGCTTCCATTGTTTCCTCTTCTATTCTCTGCTATACACAATAATAATATTAAAAATATGTCATTGATATTGAAATATGAAAGACACGTTATTGCATAATTTTCATTTTCTTAGCATAGATAAACATTTTTAATTTTGCAGACAATGCAGTCTTTGAATAGTTTGATGGCCTTCAAATAGTTCTCATCATAAGTTTAGAATTCTTTGTTTCCACTTTTTTTTCAAATCCCATCAAAAAACACATAATTCATGAATTTCTACTGGATAAGGAATTGCACGTACCTGATCTCAATCTATTCCATTTGCGATAAACTGGTTTTATTGACTTGCTAACTGTATCGGCTCTTTTTTTGTAGCTCGTTTTTAAATTCACTAGGAATTGTTCTTTTAATTTGAAACTTTTTTTTGTATAATTTTTAAGATTCTTTAATTATTTTCTTATTTTTGCAAATATAACAATTGAATATTCTATTACTTTAGCTTCCAAATTAACTTAGAGATGCACAATAAATACACAACACAACAGTTTAGCTGAATATCCGAAATAATAATGAATAGAAAATTTTATTTTTTTCTCTCTCTCGAGTTTAAATCGTCGACTTGATATAAACAAGGTAAAGTCGTCGACTGCAAAATGTTTTTAGGAATATCTTCTGTTATAGTTCACGATATGCAATTTATTTCATTTACTTTAAGGATTTTTGAATTTATTTTGATAAATTTTTGAAATTTAAATTATCACAAATTTAAGTCACAAAATAATAGGAATTTAAAGAAACCGAGAATGTATTAATTTTAAGAAAAATATTCTAAAGAAAATTCTGCAGCTAGAACCAACTGTTATCCTTTAATTACGGCTAAAAAGAGGATTTTACGATTTTAAACTAAACTGAACGAAATTTGGTTTTGTGAACAGTTCAACTGATTTTTAATTTTAATTTCTTGTTTTTTGTGAAATCAAAGATTGCTCTAATGTAATTTTGAGTTATTCTAAAGGGTAATTGACAACTCTTCATACCTACGAACTAGAATTCCCAAAGAATCTTAAGAATCAATTCATTAGTTGATGAAATACAAACTAGTCTAAAATTTTGCCAACTTAGCGTGTTGTAACATCAATTTAAAAGTGTAAAAATTCAAATTAATATTAAACGTTAAGAACACCACAGATTCTTTTTCCTTTAACTGACTTTAACGCCATCTTTAGAACTTTAATGAAATTACATCTAATTTTAATAAATTTATTTTTCGAAAATACGATAAAGAAGTATTAATATGAACGATAAAGCAGGCCTTTAAAGTTCATTCTACAGTTATTACAAGGTTGTTTAATATTTTCAAATAACACGCATGGAGTGGGACTTCTTATACATACTTGAAAAGAAACAAAATTTGTGAAAAATGTTTTTATGTTTTTACAAAATCTAAGCTTCAAAACTTCAAATATATCAAGAATCACTCTTATTTTATAATTTCTCATCACAAGTTGCCTTCCCTTGATAATTCCAACTAATTCACTCCAAAGTATTCTTTGCTATCATTTTGTTCACAACAGCAAATTTAAGGGCGTAGTCAGGGGCTGTTCTTAGGTACCCGGGCACCCCCCCCCCCAAAGGATGAAATTTCATACAATTTTTTTTTTCAATCATATTGTATTACTACCAATCGTTCATATTACACATGAAGCAGCTCTTTAATTTTTAGCTATTTTAAGGAATAACACCAATCGAATCTCTCCAATATCCGTTTAATTTTTACAACAACAATACTTTGGAAGCCCTCAATTCATTGTTCAATAATGAACAAGGAGTTCTCGTACCCATCGCATGACAAAACTCATTTAAAAGAACCAAAGCCATAAATTCAAAAATCTCATCAAATTAAAATAAAAATAAATCGGAAAGATTTGCAAGTAGTGTGAATAATTGCGCCTTTATTTCCAGATAATGCGACAAAAAGGAAATGCCAAAAATATTTATGCAAAGAGTTAATGCAACAAGTTGTAATAATGAATAAATTATATCCGTCAAATGAGAACTTATCCTCCTTATATAAACCATTCGGATGGATATGAATGTCAAAAAAAGGTAATCGTGTAATAAATCGTTACGATCATAGATGAATAATTCATAATCGATGGATTTTTCCTGTGTCTACATATATTAAGCATAGTTACTTATGAATATTAACATAACTTTTTTATAGTTAAGCATAATGATCAATAAGAGTGACTGAAATGCGTGTTTTCATTAATTTAAATTCTTTATGAAGTGATGGATGGGAATTGTTTAATAAATGACTTTTTGGAAGTTGGATGAAATTTATTTTCAAAGTATAAGTTCAATTTTATCCACAAATAAATTGTATTTAAATCATGAAGATTTAAGGACAAAGTTTGCATCAAAAGCAAATTCAAGAACTGAGTTCGAATCTCATTACACTGAGATAGAATTAACATGATTATGCTTGACTCAGAGCCTTACTTATTGTTAAATGCCAACCCAACTCCACACAAGTCCCTAAATATTCATCGTGTTATGTGCATACATGAGACTTCTTTATCGGTCATAAAGCTTTCATTAATTATTTACTCTACATATGCTTACATATGCCTACAACACAACAAAACAACAAAAATATGTTGATTAAAAATTAATTAGTAATGTCACTTAGTTGTTGTTGAGCATGTTTCAGTCTATATAATTTTTAACATCCACATCTATATTCATAGCAAATTAAATTCTCGTCTTAATTAATTTTAATCGCTGAAAAATGATGTGATGAAAAGTAAAAAGTTTTAATTGAAAACAATTCACGCGAATTATTGCTCTTAATTTTACTCATAATAAAGTTTTAGATTGGAAAATCACTCAATTGATGTACATCATTGATGTAAAATTGTTGGTAGGTTTGATGCCTATGATGATGGATAGGCTTTTTTTTCTTTTGGATAATGTCTCAATTGATTGAGTTGATTAAATTATTGATGGTTCGGCAATGCTTTTTGATTTTAAACTGGATTAGATGATTTTGTTCAATAAGAGTTGTTTAGCTATAGAAGATCTCACAGGAGGTATCAACAAACCTCTAATTTCAACCTTAAGCTGACTGCTCTATGTCTCTTAATGTAAACCTTTAGGTTAATCAAGGTTTTCCTTAAGAAGATCATACTTGGATCTTGGGTATGCCAAATGACTGCAAACCAAGAACAGCACATCTAGCAGTGGCAGTAAAATGGCATCTATACTATCCTTGAATCCTAAACCCATAGTCGTGTAAACAAAGTCTTAAATGCCTAGAATAAAATAAAAAAGATCATCCTTAAAACAAAGGCTATTTGAACATCCAGCATCAACATTTTTAAAGCATTCAGCATTAAAATCCTCACAACATCCTTTGAAAAACATTAAATTTCGCAGTGTACCTGCAACAATCAACAACGAAACATCCCAAAACACTGAAAACAAGGACGAAAAACAAGAAACAATCCAAGCTGCATTACACATTTTCCTCACCGACTTCCAACATTTCCTACTGGATATTCCCCACAAAATAATTTCTTTCGTCATCATTCGTACATTTCCGTCATGTTGGAAGTAAAATTTTTTCTCAATTTTAGTTTTTACCGAAATCTTGAATTTAAAGCACGCAAAATTTATCAAAGAGTTTTGGAAGAATAAACAAAGGAGTAGATGTATATACAAAAAACTTTTTTTTGTGTGCTGCACAAAAAGGAAAGAAAAAAAAACTTTTTAAAGCTGAACTATAGTTTAGTGTATGAACGGATATAAAGCATAAAGAACTGTCAATCATCAATTTATTATATTGAACTTTTAAAGACATGAATATCGTATAACAAGTGAAAATTAGGAATCGATCAATTTGTGTCTATTTAAAGTGTCAAAAAAAAGAAAGCAAAAAAAATTTAATTGCGTGAGCAATAACAGAGAAATTGTGAAAATAAGGACATTTAAGGAATAAAATCGAAATAAATAAAAAAATCTTTTTTTTGTGTGTGAAAATTTAAAAACAACATTGCCGCACAGTGTCAGATGTGAGAGCGAATATACAGCAGCAGCACAAAAAAAAAATTGAAATTGTATGAATTTAACGAGATGAGATAAAACATCACGCTTCGAGTATCTCTCGTTTATTTTATATATTATTTTTTTCTCTACCATTGTGATTGATTGAAAAATAGCAGTAAATGGCATTTTATCCATTTTTATCTGAAAAATATTTTTTTTTTATTGCTGCCTGCCCCCCACTCCACTTATAAATCTCCACTCAAAAATATCTCAATAATTGCAATGTTGTTGAATAAATGGCATCGATTGAAATCATTTGACCCTGAACGTTGGCATTTGATTCCTCATGAATTGAGAGAAAGGTGTAAAGGGAGGCGATTTAAGAAAAAAAAAGGCAAGGCAAGGCTCCACCTGATTAAACTTTGATTTAACCTTCTTTTAAAGAAGAGGGAATTGAGTATCGAAGATAACAGAAGCCATATTTCAAAATAGACCTTGAAGCTCTTACATTTTTTCTCAAGAGGGGGGCTAGCGATAGATAATATTAAGGTTGATGTCTATCTAGAGAAAGTTTTGTGTAGAATGTGCGTAATTTGTGGCGCAGTTTATGTTGTTGATTGATGGGATTTGGTTTATTAGATTTTCTAGATGGAATTAAAAGTTTTTCTGACTCAATTTTAAAGTTTGGTGGGAAATCTGAAAGTTATGAAACTGTTGATGCAGGTCAGTTGGTAAATTAGCTTTGGGAAGTAAGAGTGAAACTTGATTTAGGCAATTTTGGAAGTTGTGTCATTCGGAAGTTCTCTTTTTGAAAGATATTAGGCTTGTAGATCTGTGATTCAATTCATTATTCTGCATTCGATTGAATATCCTTTGGATTCGAACCTAGGTTGGTAAAGTTGATTGACTGACACTCAAGTCGTTACGCCACAGCTCCTTTTTTTCTCTTTTATGAATCTGACAATATCTATAACATAACTTCAATTCTACCTAAAATTTTCAATTCCCATTCTACACTCATTCATAGCTTCAAACTAATAATTGAATGCAGCAACTAAGCGATGCATGCAATGAATAATTCATTTAATAATTAATGGTCGGAGAAGCTTTCTTTCTAAGAATCAATTTAATAGCCCTTAGCACCTTATAATAAAAAAATAATCAATGAGTTTTCAAGTGAATGGATAGACTGTATAGTAAATACACAAATAGACAAGCATAACATCTGATTAATAGACTAGCAAACTGAAGTCATGTTGTGAACCAAGAACTTCTATTATTAACAGAAATCCACCAACAAAAAAAGTTTACTTTGCCTTACCTTTCAGCCTTCTTACGTCCATTAAATGTCTATGCACATTTAAAGCAGGGGCGAAGAACAAGGTGATTAGTAAGGAGGTTTCTCAAAAATATTAATTCGACAAACTTTTGTTCAAGAATTTTATTTTATGAGTTGAGTTTTCAGCATAAACCTCCAAAAGTCCCCCTGGCTACGCCACAGACTAGAACTGTTTGCACAAAAAAATAGTTCACAAGCAAACAAAAAACAACGAGTTAGAAAGTAAAGAAAACAATCTTTCAAGACGATTTTAATTCTCACTGTGTAGCTCATCAAGTTCACTTGAAGCCAACAAATGAAATGAAATGAAAAAAAATATTCAGCAATTTGCAAACGTGAAGAAAATGGAAGGAATGAACAAAAACAGTAAAAGAAAGTGATGAATCCTTTTCAAAATGAATTTCATTAAACCCGTGTTTTTCTTCCTCTTTTTCTCATGTCTGCTGTACACATCCCATGCTTCTCATGCCGGTAAAATGAAAATCTACTTAGCAACTCAGCATAAAGTGAAGAATATACTTACTCTCGTACTTTTTTCCTTA